TGGGGGTGTCTGGGGGTGCTGTGGGTGTCTGGGGGGTGCTGTGTTGTGGGTGTCTGGGGGTGCTGTGGGTGTCTGGGGGGTGCTGTGTGTGTCTGGGGGGTGCTGTGGGTGTCTGGGGTGTGCTGTGGGTGTCTGGGGTGTGCTGTGTGTGTGAGGGGGCTATTAGGGAATTTATTTTAAATAATTTTTTTTTATTTATTAATATAAAAAATAAAAAAAAGTTATGTGTTTCCCCCTCCCCTCCCTTTTTACCTTTATCCTGGGAGGGGGAGAGGAGATCCGTTCTCGCATGCTTCCCTGGTGGTCCAGTGGTGAGAGTGAACTCTAACCTGCGGGTTAGAGTTCACTCTCGCGAGAGCTGAGCGTTGCAACGCTCAGAATCCCGCGAGAGGACCCGGCGGAGCTGCTTGTTAGAGCTCCGCCGGGTCCTCCCTCCCTCACCCAGCCGGCGGCCGCATCTCCATTCTTGTGGGCCGGTGAGGGAGATCTGTGATCTCCCCACCGGCCCGTGGAGGCACTATGCAGGGCCGGCGCTCGGATAGCGCTGGCCCTGCACGGGCTGGCAGGGGAGATCCTGTGATCTCCCTGCCGGCCTCGGCCCCACGGCCATCGTGGCCCACCGGGCATTTGCCCGTCATGCCCGATGGCCAGTCCGGGCCTGGCAGAAGGTCTTGATGGTAAGGTATGTCTTTTTGCTGATGATACTAAGATATGTAACAGGGTTGATGTTCCAGGAGGGATAAGCCAAATGACAAATGATTTAGGTAAACTAGAAAAATGGTCAGAATTGTGGCAACTGACATTTAATGTGGATAAGTGCAAGATAATGCATCTTGGACGTAAAAACCCAAGGGCAGAGTACAGAATATTTGATAGAGTCCTAACCTCAACATATGAGGAAAGGGATTTAGGGGTGATTATTTCTGATGACTTAAAGGTAGGCAGACAATGTAATAGAGCAGCAGGAAATGCTAGCAGAATGCTTGGTTGTATAGGGAGAGGTATTAGCAGTAGAAAGAGGGAAGTGCTCATGCCATTGTACAGAACACTGGTGAGACCTCACTTGGAGTATTGTACACAGTACTGGAGACCGTATCTTCAGAAGGATATTGATACCTTAGAGAGGGTTCAGAGAAGGGCTACTAAACTGGTTCATGGATTGCGGGATAAAACTTACCAGGAAAGGTTAAAGGATCTTAACATGTATAGCTTGGAGGAAAGACGAGACAGGGGGGATATGATAGAAACATTTAAATATATAAAGGGAATCAACACAGTAAAGGAGGAGACTATATTTAAAAGAAGAAAAACTACCACAACAAGAGGACATAGTCTTAAATTAGAGGGACAAAGGTTTAAAAAATAATATCAGGAAGTATTACTTTACTGAGAGGGTAGTGGATGCATGGAATAGCCTTCCAGCTGAAGTGGTAGAGGTTAACACAGTAAAGGAGTTTAAGCATGCGTGGGATAGGCATAAGGCTATCCTAACTATAAGATAAGGCTAGGGACTAATGAAAGTATTTAGAAAATTGGGCAGATTAGATGGGCCGAATGGTTCTTATCTGCCGTCACATTCTATGTTTCTATGTAACATATACATAATACTATCATTGTTTTTTATTGATGAACAGAGGTGAATTTGTATTGCTACCAACATATATTCGCTATGAGTTAATATTCATATTCATCTCTGGAGTCAACGTTAACTTAAATAGTTAAAATAATCACATATAGTGTAAATTCATGAGATCAGTGCAATCAAATACTTGAAGGATAAAAAAAGTTCACACTAAAAATTTCGTTTTAGATCAAATAGACCATACAAAAAAGTTGGATTGCTAATACAACATGAATGGTAGGTAAAGGAAGAGCTAGAACAAGTCTCACTTACACTTTCCATAAAGCTGGTTAAAATTAACTACAAAGAAAGGCAGGAGAAAAGATGAGACGGGGGGGATATGATAGAAACA